TCCATACAAGAAGCAGCAGGAGCTCGATGCTGTTGGCTTTCCAGTGGGTAGTCCCTGGTCTTGTTCCTCCTTGCTAGGCAGTGATGGTGAGCAGTGTGCACGGAGCAGCTGCCAGCTGCCTTTGCTCCCTGGGGGTGGTGTTGGGGAAAGTCAATCCTCCCTCTCCTTCTCCCCTCTAAACTAGAAGCCTCAAGGCGTGAGGGTCTCCGAGGGAGGTCCACGGTGGGGGCTGCTGACAAAGTGAGATGGGGAATCCTACCAGCCCCAGCCTCAGAGCTGTGCTGCTGCAGCCCAGAGATTATTCTGCTGCAGGACACAGGGACTGGAGAGCTGACTGGGGCTGTCCCAGCACGGCTGAGAAGGGCAGGAGAGATTAGTCTGTCTCGGGCTGGGAGCTCTGTTTTGCTGGCAGAGGTGCAGCACACAGCCAGCCTTGCTCTGCTCTCTGCCTGGGGGTTACACTGGATGCCACAGCCTGGAGCCAGTGATGGGAAACGTCTACTCCACAAATACAGCTCCACATTCACCTCTTCTGAACGTTGCTTTGCCCTGAAGAAAAATAAGAATAAACATAAACAAAAGAGCATGCATCTTTCTCATCGCCTCTTCCCTAGTTTGCCAGAGGCTTTGGGTACTTTCCTTGTGTGTCTTGTCTCCAATTGCCCAGGCTCAGCCCTGGAAGCATTACAGACACTACTCTCTCCCCATTCCTCAGCAGACAACCCCATCTGGCAAAGCAGGAAGGACTTGAAGAGGACAGACTCAGTTCTCAACAAAAAAAAAAATGAAAAAGAAAGACTTCCAGCATTATGCAGCCTCAAAAAGAACTTGTTGCCAACAAGGCTGAACTATCCTGCTGCCAAGACAAGGTAGCTTTTTTTTTTCCCCTGTAGCTGCTTTTCCAGAATGCTTTAGCTCTAACCAGAGCTATGTGACACCAAAAAAGAACAGGTCTAGAAGGAAATGTCCTTACAGAAGTCAGAGCAACACGGCTGCAGCTGGAGTGCAATGCTTACCCCTCTTCATCGACTGGAAATCCAGCTCAGATCTCCACACTGCCTTTTTCTCAACCAAAAGGTAGTGCCTGGCCTTAAGGTGCTGTTTAACTGCTGAGCAAGTGAAGATTTCTTCATGTATCATGCCACAGCCTTGCAAAGGTTCAAGGCTACACAGGCCAAGTTCTTCTTGTCCACACTAAAAATTGAAACCATGTTTGCAAATCCAGAGTCTACGTTGGCCCCTAATCTGGGAGGGTTGCAGCACAGATGGGAGACTTAATTTGCAGTCTAGCCACTGAGTCAGATGGTTTTACATGTAACACTCCCACTGAGCACAGCTCCCTAACACTTCAACAGGTAAGTGCAATTTGAGGGGACTGTGCTTTCACTCACTCAGATTTTAAAAGCAAGCTGTCAATCACTGTCACTCTAACCACCACTCTTTTCCACCTCCCTTCTGAGAAATGAAAAGGGTATTGTGAAACACATACACCTGTATCATCTCAAACCACCCTAGTTCATCTGAAAAGAGGCAGCACAGCCTATGAAATCCATGCCAGCCATGCAGTGTTGCAAGTAGCCTTGGGAACTGCTGGGTTTTTTTAGTTCTCCAGTTCTTTCTGCCCAGTTCCAGGTTCTCAACACATTGTCATGATTATTTTAGGTGGTGTTCTGCACCTCTCTCATTCCTAATTTCAGTCTTGGTGAGATCAGGAAGAGACAGCATCCTTTAAAAATCACCTTTTTTGCCTTCAGGACCTTACTGTAAACAATTTTAAGCAGCAGCTAATCTTACTCAAAAGGCAACAACATTTTATGAAGTGCTTTTTAAAACTTCTTCTAAGACCAAAAGAGATACTCGAGGCAAGCTGCATGTTTTGCAAACTGCAAAATCCATGACCAATGGATTTCATATTGGCTTTTATGTTCCCAACTAAAACATTTAACATGTACTTACTATATATGCTTCACAACAACACTAACAGCACATTAAAACCTGAAACTAATCCAATTAAGCAAACAAAAAATTAAGCAATCAATGTATTTCTGGTGTTAGAAGCAAAAGGAAGTAAATAGCACAGTGCATGACAAGTAAATCAAGCTCTTCCAAGTGGATCTGTTGGGGTACCAGTGACAGACACATGATGAACACAGAACTGGCACAGACAATGCCAGTTCTCCCATCCCCACAGACCAAGGCTGATCCATTTACCATTGGGGGTTGGGATTGGTGGTTGGCCCAAGACCACACTTCACATGCCTTAAACACAAGGATTTTCACCCAAGACTCACAACCCGAACCATCACGAGCCTCCCGTTGCCACTCTGAGACCAACAGACACAAATGAGTGGCCTCCCCCTCCCTTCAACCCTTCCTGTGCCACCACCCAAGACCAAGCCAGTGCCCTGGAACGTGTGGTGGGAGTGGGTGGCCCATCACCCCACCCCCCAGCCCGGGGCAGCCACTTGGGGCTGGTGTGAGGCAGCACCCGCCCCGGGCCCTCGCTCAGCACCCCCAGGAGCTCTCCCGGGGACTCACCTCCCCTTGCAGGCTCCACTCGTTCCACTGGCCGTGCCGTGGGTCTCCCCAGAGCCTCAGGGTCGTGCCCACACCTCCGAGGGCTGGGGGCAAAGCCCAGCTGGTGCCCCTGGCTGCCCGGAGCCCGGCGGGTGGCTGTAAGCAGCTTATCCCCCGCGATTAGCTGCCGGGCTGGGGCTGCAGATGGCCCCTGGAAAGCTCCTCTGCCCCACTGCTAATTAAAGCCACAGCCCAGGGGCAGTTCAGCCAGGAGAGACCCCCTCATGCCCCCCCCGGGCAGCACCCCAGGACAAGCCCCACCTCCTCCCTCCTCCTCCTGGGTGAAGCCAGGTTGTGTGCTGCAACCACAAGCACCCTGAACCCCCCCGGCCCTACAAACCCAGGTATTGATCTGAGAGTACATTGGTGCTTATTGTGAACACTGCCAAAACAAACACCCTGCTCCTTGGATGCCAGGAGGGGCTTTGTTTTGTTCAGCACCTCTCTGATTTACTGCCCAAAGTCGGTATCCTTGAGGCACAGTGAGCCTCCTGTAAGTCCTGCCCTGCCCTGCTCCCCTGAGCTCCCAGCCACGCTGAATTCTTCACTGAAAAGCACACAGAGGGATGGGTATCAATAGATTATGTGGCATCTTTCACCATGGAGAATGGCTGAGGAGGCCTCACTAGATGGAACTCTTTGTGCAAATACCCCAAAAGCATTCAAAATGGTCCTTTTCAGTCTGTGCTTCACAGGTCTAGGGAATAAAAATCCCTGGGGAATAAAACTCCCTGTGCATTTAAGTGCATTCTTCAGGGATCCATACTGTCACTGAACAGTTCTGAAGGGCTGAAAAAAACCCCCAACCTTAACTGAACATACAGGCTTGCTCTGCAACTCCACAAGCTCCAGGAATTTCTGCCTACCTGTTTTTCTTTTTCCCCCCATCTGTCACAAGAGGAGACTGATTCCTATTCCCATGCTCTGTTGTGTGGCAGCCTGCAAAATGAATATCCAATACTCATCTTAGGAAAGCAAACCAGGCTGTTGCACTTGTGGGGCAGTTTACCCTGGGCTTGGTTCAAGCACAAGGGATGAAGGTGCAGGTACAGCAGCAGGTCACTGTTGTGCTTGCTCAGCACAGTGGAGGAAACATCTAGTTATGTTTCAAGGGATCAAACTTGAGAGAAAATTGCTTGGCATGGTTCTGAAGGTTAGTTAAGGGGGCTCCTCCTCACTGAAAAATCAGTGCAGCAGCAGGTCTTGTCAAGGAAAATGCAACTGTAGAAGAACAAATGGAAACTCTGAAAAATGAACCTGCTTCAGTCTCTCAAGAACTAGTCCTTCCATTCTGCCAAACCTGACATACTCTCTTCTGAAAAAGAATCCTGTTGAATTTATTTAGGATTTTACCCTGAAAGCCACAGCAGGGCAGATTTATTGTGCATAAGATCAGAACTTGTCATTTGTCACACCCCATGGAGCTTACCACTGCAGTGTAAATACACCCATCTTTTCCTTTCCCCAATCCTCAATTCACCAGCCCACCCTCCCACCCACATATTTATAAGCAGTCCCCTCTACCTGTCCAGGTAAACCTTGGACTAAAACCCATCAAAGCCCTGTAAGACCTTCCCCCAGAATGTTTCTCCCAAACTACTTGGCTACAGTCCCAAACCCCCAAGAATATCTGCATTTTCCAAGGAGACAGATAACCAGGGTAACTTTTTCTAACACAGAAAAACTATATTCATTTTATGGTTTTCTTAAAAAACATAACATTTCAAGTTCTGTTAAGATAGGCAACTGAAGGCAAAAGGACATTTCAAGGCACAGAGTATTTATAATTGACATTCAATAGCCATTTAAAGTATCCTGGAGGACATTCAACTTGCATAAAAGCATCAGTGAATAAAACCCAAGGCTAGATAGTGAGAGCACAAGCAGCTCCCTGGCCCAGCAGAGTGTTTTATACCAACCCCAGCTTTGTACTAAACACCACAGCTAGCAGAGGGAGTTATGGTCATAAATCTTAGTTAAGTAACATCATCAAAAACAGCCCTCAGGAACTCCCAGATGTTTCCTAGAAATTTATCTGCATAAAAGCAGGCTAAACTGTGCTGTTTCAGGGCAGTCCATAAGCCTTTTAAAGATAGCTTGTCCAGGAGCATTTGGAGTGGTTCCCTTACTTGCAATGGAGAGGATGCACAACACAAGACTGGGAAGGCTGCAGAAGGTGCATCCACTCACACGTACAGGGGAGGGAGGAGAGTGCAGGGATTACAGAGTCACAGTGCTTAACAGGACATCTCTGAGGTCTCCTGCAGGAACTCATCTGCCCAGCCACCAGGGAGGCAAATGGAATGGACAATCAGATCTTCTGTTTGCTCAGCAGCAGGTCTTGCTCCAGCAGGACAGCCGTGGGCAGGGTGGAAGGCTGAGCTGGGGGAGGGCAGTGTCTGTTCTCTGTCTCAGGGAGGGCCTCAGTATGGCTGCTGGGCTGCCTTGCTGGAGTCAGGCCAGTGTGGAGCAGCTCCCTGCTGGTCGATCGGCTCGTAGGCGCTGCGGTCCCGGCCGGCAGGGCTGACACCTGAGTGGGGAGAGAGGAGAACAAGCTTGGGAAAATACCCCAGGCACAAGAACTGAACCTTCCAGAAGAAACCCAACAGCTCAGGAGCACACCACGTTGGCTGCTCCACCAGCTCCTTAGCACCTGTGTTCTGGGTTTCTCACTACACAGGCAGGAGGTAAGAAAATTCTTCCTTCCAACAAGGGCAAAAGAACTGAGATGGGTTTGGACATCCCTCTGCATTCCTGGAGAGCTGCTCTCCTAGCAGCCACGTGGCTGTGGGCAAGCAGGGCCCTCAATACTACAGAGCAGAGTAACAGCTCCCTGTAATACCATATTACAGCCAGATTAAGTTTATGAAATCTAGTGGAAAAATGAAGAGACAAAAGCAGAAGCAGCAGGACCCTTGGCTTGCTGACAGCACAGATTTAAGAACATGACTTGTCCATGGGCCACTCTTCCCAACAGCACAGCTTTGCCTCAGCTGTGCCACACCATCACACGAACAAAGCTGGGCACCAAAACAC